GTAAACCATGCCTTTACGGTTTTTACTTCTGTCTCCTTCATGTTTGTCTTAACCTTAAAAGTTAAGATTTCAAATTTTGGAAATCCAACTGTTGAAAATTTGAAAATTTTACTTGACAGTCCTGCTTGATGAGTAAACCATGCCTTTACGGTTTTTACTTCTGTCTCCTTCATGTTTGATAAAGCTAAGCTAGTACTTGCTACCACTTCCACTTTTAGGGCAGTTGCAGCTGTGTGTCTTTAAATTGGCATTACTGCCACCTACTGAGTACGACCTTTGACAGATAAATATTTTTATCTCTATTGCTTTAAAAGAAAACATTACTGCCACCTACTGAGTAAACCTTTGACAGATAAATATTTTTTATCTCTATTGCTTTAAAAGAAAAGAAGAAATGACAAACAGAGGACAGCCTTACTGCTAGTCAACACACCAGCAACTACCTGTAATCCCTACCAAAATGACTGGGGGTCGTTTTTAAAGACTTTATGATCTAGGATGTCTCTGCACACTGCACCACTGCACCACCGTTAAACTAATTCAACCAGGTCTGAACAGCATGGGGAAAAAAATGGCTGTTGTGCTAATGCGCTAAATCAAAAATAATGGTGTAATAATGTCAATTTAAAATGAAGGCATCAAACTGAGTCTGGAACAAAGACAATCAAGAAGAGACGGCTTCATAACAGCTGACTTATACCATAAATATAGCCCCACAGTTACTGCTCCAGCCATTACTGCACTGGCTGATGGTTTCTTTTCTATTCTGTTGATGGCGTGCAATCATATTTAATATTTGAGGGGAGCTGAGGTCAGGTTCATTAGTTGACCCCAATCGTATATTGGAACTCAACTCATTAACGTCTCTTACGCCAGAGTCGACCTCTCACGACCTTGTGTGTATTATGCACTTTATATACAAAGGTTTAGACTGTTTATGGAGGCCACTCAAGGCTGCAGTACCACCCCCCACCCCCCGCCCCACTACCTCTCTCTCTATTATCAAAACACACCACATATTCAGTGCAGTAGAAAGTTGAGTTTGCTACTCTGGAATTCTCTCAGTCCCAGTCATTTAAGTAAAGTGAGTAAATGCAAAACTAAACGAACCACAGTTGTGCCTCAACAGGGTTAAATACACATCAGTTCTGTGAGAACAGTTGAGATGATCACCACATCGGACAATCTCTGATAAAGAGCTTATTCAAATGTCTACAATGAAAATTTAAGTAAGTGGATTTTGACAATGTATCAATCACCACTGGTAGAATGTACACAAAGTACCTGCCAAAGTACTACTGCATCTGATCCTGATCATTCTGCAAATACATTTTTTTTCCCTCCGTTCCCAAAATAACCGTACGCCTCTGGAAGTTGCGGTGTAGCAGCAAATGTTTGGTTCCAACCCCAAAAACAGAGCAGACAGGATATTGGTCATATTATGCTGCCCACAGAACAGGACAGATGCAATTGACCTTTGACCTTGCTGTGTTTTGAATCATTATCTCCCAGAGCTTAAGAGCAGGGACTAATCCTCCCTGTGTTTACCACACAATTGGAACAACAGCTGGATGGTCTGTTGGCAGCCGCTCCTGGACTGGGCTGATTCATATGGAAGCTCTGTGCTGTGATGTGACCTCATTTGGATTTCCACCTATAGGCCCCAAGGATGCATTAATGCACATACAGTAAGCCACGCTCATCTTAAGAGATACGAGGGGCTCAGCTCAGTCTGCTGCTCTAAATCGAGCCGCAGCTCTGGGCAAATTTAACTATACCACTGAAAAACAGTATTAGTAAAGGATTAGTCGGTGTCCGTGTTGGCCAGTGGGGCAGTGGGTTTTTCTGATGCTCCTGATCTGCGATTAATGGATTGACGATCCCGGGGCAGCAGAGGCGGCTGCCTGTAGCAACGGGTTAAAGGCAAATAGAGAAAAATCCAGTGACATTTGACATTTAACAGCAACTGTAACTCATGATAAATTAAATGAATACCAACAAAGCCACCAGTGGTGTCTGAAGCTTCCAAGATGGCAGTGGTACAGCCCAGAGATCCATGTGGCTTATATACAACATATCCTCGTAAGACTTTTTATGTACGTCAAATGTGGGCCTCACTGACCCAAACACAATTTGACTAGATTGCATTGTGTTGCCGTTCCTCTTCCTAGCTTGTAGTACAGGAAATATGGGCCACATTTCCACTTATTTAAATGTGGGTGGCAGCAGATGTGTGATAAACTCATCACAAACACACAAATTATCTATGACACACTGTAAGACGAGAAGGGACTTTTGTTACGCACAGAGTGCGTTCACAGCAGCCGATGCTAACGCTAATTAGACCACATTACGAAGGCAAACTCGTGTTCACTTCACTGATGTGAAGAGACAAAAAGGCGAACATTTTTCGGGCTTATTTTCCTTCTGTTCCACTGATGCTGTTCCTTCAGCTGCACACGGTTGTGTAACACGCTCTGCCACGACAGGTGAACCATGTAACTGTGTTCTGACTTGTCTTCATTTTGTTGAAGAAGTACAGCCTCCAGCATGTATCCACATGCACATACAGACACACACATACACAACGTACACAGCTGCAGCCAAGTCACTCCAGTGAGTGTTGGCTGACACATAAACACAAACCTCCACCACGTCTCGCTGTCTTTAACTTTTCCTGCACGTTATTGCCCCTAGTTTCCTGTTTCTGTTTCCAACTCAGAGTTTATATATATCACACTGTAGAAACCCCTGGGTTCTGCCCCACACCCACCTTCCTGGGAGCAGTTAAGACAATTATTGCACTTTGTAAAGATAACACAACAAGACGACCACATCACTTTCTAAGTGACCAAGTTTGTTAATGTAAAATTACTAGAATTACTTCAGGGTCATTAAATATTAAGTATCAGACATCAGACTCTTGGTAATGCAGTAAGATACCAGCATCAAAATACTTGGTGATACTTGACTAGTGTCATTAGAGTTATAGGAGACATTTTATGACAGCAAGTGTCTCTGCGTAGGTTTATATTTACATCTCAGCTGCAGATTTACATTGGAATAATGTTGTTAAACTCCCGCTAATAGTGCGTAACCGTTGGATACGAGCGTCTGTGTTTATGGGGGATAAACCTCATTTGTGCCTCCACGCCATCAGAGTCGGTCTGTTCTGCTCCGTGTGAAACTCCGACGCCACAGCGGGATAAAGTTTGTTCTGGGACATTTGAAGTGTAATGAAGGAGGGAGGCCTGTGTTTTCTGTGAGGAGTGTATTTTATTTAAAATGACATTGACATATAATGGATGGGGGGATGAGGGGCTGGGGGGGTGGGGGGGGAGTAAAGGATCATTATCATCACTCACAAATCTAAAACTGAAATATACGAGGGCTAAAAAAGTTGGGATCCATTAGAGATTGCCGTGCGTCACGGGTTCTAAAAGTGCAGAGCAGCCTTTTGATATCAATTAATCTTTAAAACGACTTTCTGAGATGCCAGTTATTCAGCATTAAAGTCACTGATGCTTCCAACGAGTGAATTAATGACAAGATAAAACAAAAGAATGAACAACTGCCGGGACAGAAATTAACTTAAGGTTAAGTGTAACGTTGTTTTTTGCCATTTGTCAATTGAAACTAAATGGTTTTCTATTGGAAAGCATCAGATTTAATTTGATTTGAGCTTCATTTTCTTCACACCCAGAAAGCAACGTTATTCAAAAATATAATTATCTTTACCTTATGAAAGAAACCTGTGATCCTATTACCTATTAATACAGATATCGTTTTCTAAACCACGCTGTGACTTGCAGACAGACGGGGGGAAACTGGCCTCGGCTCTGACTGATAAGATGGTTTATCAGTGTTTGTGGGTTCAACCAAATGATGCCTGCATACTCCACTCCACTGAACATAGTGTAGAGTGTGATTTGTGGCGCACAGCCACAATAGCACATTGTTTTGGTTTTATGGTCTGAAAACCACTGTATGCTCAGTGCCAGGCTCCAAACACTAAGTGTGTGATAAGCCGCTGAAATTAATGGAGTCCAAAGCAGCTACAGAGTCAGATATTTCCCCCAAGAGTTGGAGCAGACTCAAAATAAGCTACAGTTTTATGAGACAGGAAAAAAAATCTTAATCCAGTGTAGAGTTGATCCTGTCTTTGTGCTTTAATAGAGCCTGCAGTTATGGTGTCAAACCCTGATTAATCAATGACCAGTTTGACACAAGGAACCAATCAGATGTTTTCCTCTTTTCTGTCATTCATAATTAAATATTCCATATAAGGAAGTCAAAGCCGACAGGAAAATGCTGAGCCTGCTGACACCGTTTATACAACTCAGCAGACACTCATCAAACATCAAACATGGACCATACATTAGAACTGGACAATACCATTGGCCGCAATAAGTGAGGCGGAAAAAAAAAAGACCTCTACTGGTTTCAGCGCAATAAGTGAGGAAAAAAAAAAGACCTCTACTGGTTTCAGGAGGTATTACCCTATATACTGTATATTGGATGAAACCAGCCTATGGTAACAGGACAGGGATGTCACTGACAAATATGCTGTGATAATGACATATTGCACATCCAAATAAAGGCGATCATATCATTAAAAATATAGAGTGTATGATTGTGCCAATCCAGCCCATAGTTTTGAAGCCAAATGCCAGCTCTACGGTGGCAGCGGAGAGAAAATCCCTATCCTCCAGGCGCCGTGGAGGACGGCTGCCAACATCCATGAAAATCTATTCAATGTTTACATGCTGTTAGGACATATTTCATCATAACACTCTGCCACAGACGCAGCATCACATTTCTGTTTCTGTTGTCTCAACATTTCACATGTTCACCAACATGAATTAACTTCAGATTCACTCTGGCAAACGAAGCCGAGTTGACGAGGCGACGCTAACATGACCTGGTATTTATTACAAGGCAAAGCTTGTTGCACAAAGTTTATCTTGTACCTCGTGAGAGCATGTGTCAGGTTGGCTTACCTCAAGACCACAGCCTTAGATGTCGCCAGGTCATGTGACCCACCTCAGGGTGCGTGTTCTGAGTGTTATGTTGACAGCCACTTCCAAAATACCTTTCCTTCAAGTTTTCTTTTGTCGATTCTTGTGGATTTGACGACAGCGTTGTTCTGCAAAAGATAATGCGTTTGAAAAAAAAAAGTAAACCCCCTTTTTTTTTTCTTTAATAGAGAAAAAATCATTAGATAATCAACTGACCATAATAGTCACCCAGTCTACACGTAAACAATGGAAGCACAGCTATAGTGATAAAGACGCAGCAAAGGAAAGAGGGAAACATAAAAAAAAAAGTAATGGAAATGTTGTTTCTTGCTCTGACAGATAAACATGTGTGAACAATATGACATACTGAAACTAGACAATAGGAAAAGTGACTTCTTTGTGCAGAAAAAAAATTATTTGATGAGTTTTCATCAGTTCACTCTGTTTCATTTGAACCACACCAAAAATAAAATTTGAGTTTTCTTAAGACGAGTAGAGGTTGACATTTGTTTTCATGCATTTATTGCCTTGGACTGAATAAAACACTCGCAGTTTGACGTTAGAGATGGCTTTACTTCCTGTTCTGCCTTCATCACGGCTGTGATCAAATATCTGCAGAAACTAATGACATTCCCAGAATGAGACTCACTGAATCGTGGCTGCAGGCAGCGAGTTGACTTGTTTCTTTGATGCTCACATTAATTTGGATAAAAAAAGAAAAGTACTGACAACTGACATCAAACATTTTGGCAAGGTCTTTGTTATTTATGAGTGAAGGAGCTCCAGGATTTGTCTTTTGATAGCATCATGAAACCATATCAGATCTTCTCTTTTATACATCAAAACAAAACATTAATGCTGAAGATCAGAAGTTAAGAAATCGAATCCTGATACCAAAAGTTGCTACTTAAACATTTCTATAAGGAAGCACTTTCCTCATAGACATCATCTCTCCTAGCTTTCCGGCACATCCTCATCTACTTCCTGTGTCCTCGGAAACACAGACCACACAAAAATACTCTGTCACTGAGCCAAGCATTAGCTATTTCTGGGCTTAAGTTTTGAGCAGATACTCAAAGCAAGTGCACATGTACATCTGCATACACATGTGCACACACACACACACACACTTGTTTGTGAGTGTGTATGTCCCCAGCTGTTGAGTCCTGTGCAGATGTAGCAACCAGAAATGAGGGATTATGGCTAAATCTGGAGTTAAAGAGGAAAAGGAGGAGAGAGGGAGAGGAGGAGAGAGAGAGGATGGGGCGACGGCAGCGATGCTTCCACTGTCTGTAATGAAGGCAAGGGTTAAGAGGGGTTAGAGGGAACGCAGCCTGATGATAGACGGATTAGACATCGATGATGAAGAGGCCACAGGCGAGACAGGGAGAAAATGAAAGAATATGTGAGAAAGTAAAAGTGCACAAAAAGAATTAGACAGGGGGCGGGGTGGGGGGGGGGGCACATTTTTTTAAACAAGCTGAGACTGGAAGGGAGAAAAAAAAGAAGACTGATCTTAAAAGAAAACCCTCCCCCTGGTGGAAACTGGATGAGGCTGTCACACGGTGCTTTTTTTCAGGCTGATAATAAATTCCCTGATTCCTGGACTCTCTCTATGAAGAATCTGCAGAGAACGAGCTCAGTGTTTCTGCAGGCAGGGAGGAGCTGCAGTTAAAGCATCTTCAGACTCACAGCCATTAATATCTCCACACGAGGGAACCCTGTGTGGGGAGAGACACACTTTTGCTAAAAGTGGTTTGGGCGCAGTAATAGTACAGCTGTTACTGTGCAGACGGAGTTTATTGGAAATGTTTTTCCTGTTTCTTTTTTTTTTTTCTTCTCCAGTCGAACTAATCCACGTGTGAACAACAGTGCACTTGGTTTTATGGATGAAGACATTTCACCTCTTCATCTAAGATCTTCAGTTCCGTTCAACTGCCTCAGAGTGGCTGAAGACCTGAGGACAAAGTCGTGGTAGCAGGACCAAGCAGGTGACCACGCCCTGACCCAAGGGTAGGATGCTGTATGGTCAGCTTGGTCATGTGACAGTGGCATTCACACAGTCATGTATTTCTATTGGTAAGATGACTTTACAGCCAACAGAATGAAAGTGATACAAACTCTGCTGGTCAGAAACCAATGGACAGACTGACTGAAAAAGACAGGCGTCAAACCACAGACTATTTGAATGAAAGAAGCTGTTCCATCTGACTAGAACTACAGTGTGTTAAGGTCATGTGATTTCTAGTTTTCCTTTTCTAGTGTTGAAGTATCCCAGACCAAAACATGTAACTGTAACAACACTGACATTGGAGCTCGAACCCCCGACTCCCTGAGACATGTGGGACTGGGGATCAATTCACTCTGGTAACTTGAAAACAACAGCAGCTCCAACCCAAAAGTTTCATTAACGTTGTCCATGTCCACTGTTTGCCCACTCTGCACAAACACTGCTCAAACACTGGACTGAAACCAACGACAAGACGATTAAACAATAAAGGTGTTTGACTGTGGGCTGAAACCAACAACAAGACGATTAAACAATAAAGGTGTTTGTTGAAACTCTTTGTTTACAGCAGTCTGGATTTGCAGTGGTGTTTATGAACACACACACACACACACCGCAGCTGAGGAAACAAGGTAAGCAAGATTCTTGTCTTTTCTGCAGAGTCAGGTGCAAAAACTCCATTTCCTCTGCTCCTGGGCCACAGTTTAATATTCAAACGGTTTTCACACTCACACTGTTGCTGCCGCAGAACTCAGAGACTGGTACAGATGGCAAATGTGGTCTGTTTGATATTCTGCGATAACTTTCCTCCACTTGTCAACACATTTGCCAAATGATCTGGAGAGGATTGGCCGGAGCCCAAATTAATGTGCGTAAAAGCAGAGCCCTCTAGGAAGCTTAACAGCAGTCTAATTAAAATATGCACATTCACATTTCCCTGCCTCTCTCAACAACACGTCCACAGAAGTCGCTTTCATTAAAACCACAAATTAGTGGGCCGATGTTGGAAAATGATGAATTTCTATTAAACATAGCTCTGTTGTAAATGTTCTTCAAACGCACGCTCCTGCTTACAGAGAGGATGCTGCAGTTCTCCTCCCTTTAAGATTTCCAGACATCATCTGTCGCTCTGAGGATCAATTATCAGCACAAAGACACCGTTAATGAGGCTGCGATGCTGACCTCGCCGATCCACGAAGCCTCAGCGCCGCACAGATCACATCAGCAGTGCTGAGACAGAACAAGGTAAAAGCCGACAGTGGACAGCTGTGTGCTCATCTCCTGCCATGTCACCGTCTTTGTTCCTGCAGCTGACGTTACAAATCCTGGAGGGTTATTTAATGTCATTTTCATCACAAAACTTCTTTATTACATCTCGACCATATTTTGGGTCCATTCATGAACCTGGGCAGGAGAATTCAGCCTGAAGCTGGAGGAAGACAAGTCATAGAAAAGGCCAGGAGAGAATCTTATAACTTTCTGAGCCACAGCCTCAGCCCAGACTGCAGACAGACTAGGTCAGTCAGTCTAGAACAGTAAGATGGTCATTGTTGGACAACTACTACTTTGGAGATAAATGAGGAAACTGGAAGTGTGGGATGGTGATAAGACAGACTGGATATATTGGAGAAGGAAATGAACAAAGAAGATGCCAGTCAAAAGGAACGACAGAAGATCCTGGAAATAATTCCTGGACATATCAAGCAAATATTATCTAAATACATCATGTAAAACTTAGTCAAGCTACTAGAAGACTGTTACATAAGGCATAATATTCTGTCAAGCTATTTTTATTTAGCTCCTACTGTAGCCCCTGTTCAGACTGTTATCATATAAGTGTAAACAAGACCTCCAGCTACAATATACCCCTGAATGAGTTTGGGGCTTAAATGGATTATAACTCCAGCTGAAGCCATGATCCAGTCCTGCTTCAATGGAGAAGTCAAGTTAATGCAGATCATCTCAGTGACGTCATCTGTGTTTTTCTAAAATCGCTGTAGTGTCCAAAAAGCAGTCATGCATACTGTATACTGGAGAATATGTCTCACATGTCTTTCACGAGTCTTTTTCATCAAATGGGTGAGAAAGCTTTGGTGACACCTATAGGTGGAAAGCGGAACTCTGTGTCTGTCAGCGGCTTACCTGCTTCGACTGTTTGACACGTTGTTGTCAGAGTATCTTCAAAGAGGCGATCGTAAACCTGTAAGACGTCACAACATGACGTCAGAGGCAAAACAATAATACAGTATAAAAAATAAATAAATACGTTACTTAAATATATTGAACAAAAGACGCTGAATTGGAATAAATGAAGAGTCAACAACACACTTCAGGTTTTTATCTTTTCAGATCATAAATGACCACATATACATGAGGGACATATTTCCATCACCTGTGGAGAGAAGGATCTGTTTGAAGGCAGTTGTTTCAGCTGAATAACATTTTGATTTTAAATGGAATTTGAATTTTAAAATTCCATTTAAAATAAAATAAACTTTAAAAATCTTAGTAACAATTTGAACAAAACGTAACAATTTGCACTCATTCACTCAATCATGTTTTTATATTGGATTATCAATAAATCAATACTAATTATTAAATAATATTAAGTAGCTTATGTGTCTGTAATGCTTACTTGTAACATCAATTACGTTACTCAATTCATTGTGATAGATGTTAATAATACCACAAAACTAAAAATCACAAAAATAGGTTAACCATTTGTTTTTATTTTACATGAAATAAAAAAACTTGTACAGCCCCCAACTATAAAAAAAGGTGGTGCTAGCAAAATTCATAATCTTCAAAACCTTCCAAAACATTGGTTGGGTTCTCAATTTACACAAAAACATGATCAGACACACTCCAAAGAGAACTTTTTTTTTTTTTTTATGACCCTCCATTTACACAAAAACATGATTTTTTTTTTTTGACAGCATGATTCTGTGTATCCGTGTAAATAATTAACAGACAGGGCTATTTTCCTGAACAATCATAAACATCTTTATGCTCAACAAATGCTCACAATTCATCAAGTCTACCGTCTCGCCCTGATGATATCCACAATGAAGACAGTCAACGCGTCCTCATTCCTATACCTCCACCATCACATGCACTGGCTTGGCCTTACAGCAAGCAGCTCCCTGTGTATGAACAGATAGTTTGACATTAAAAACAATGACCAACAACATGAAGCTTCCTTTTTATATTACATTTTAAAATAAGGGATGAATAAGGGACATTACTAACCAGAAAATGTGTACTCATCCAATACGCACGTTTGTTGATGCAGGACAAATAATGCGCTTAATTTACTCATTTGACAATGTCACATAAAATGCCACTGTTGATTTTAATGTTTTTGCTTAGGTAAATGTAGGCTTGGGCAAATTCAGTGAACACACAAGTTTACCTAGCCAAAGCCTACTACATTAAAACGCAAGACGCCATTATACACAGGAGCCAATTTTACTTTAAAAAGTTGCCCAGGGCAAGCTTACATTAAAATACACTGTCGTTAAAAGTTTTTTTTTTTTTTTTTTTGAGGGGATAATCGGGGGGAGCCCGCATC